GCAAACTAGACACTAGATAAATTAGAGATAATCTCAGAGGGAAGGCACTAGTCTTAATTAGCCAGAAGTGAGCTATTGCTATCTTTGGTTTCTATGAAGGGACTTTATATCTTCTGCCTCAGAGCAGAGTGCTCTAGTAGACCTGCTAGAGAGGGATCCCAAGCTTGTAGGCAGGTGTCTTCCCATTGTAAGAGGGCTGTCTAAACCCTGTCTCCTACGAGAGGAATATATACGAAATATCAATCTATGTGAGAGCAGTTAGGGCACCTAGGCTGCAAACCTGAGGGATTGGAGGATGGTATTGCCTTCTACAGTAATAGAGAAGGGAGTGAGAGGGAGGAGGGCAGGTAGGCCCCAGTGGAGCTTGGAATCAGGAAGACTCATCTTCATGAGTTCAAATGCGGCTTTAGACACTAGGTATGTGACCCTGGGCAAGTCATTTAACCTTATTTGCCTCAGTTTCCTCATCTGTAAGATAACCTAGATCAATAAATGGCAAACCACTCTAGTACTTTTGCCAAGAAAACCCCAAGGGATCACAAAGAGTCAGACACGACTGAAAATAACTAAAGAAGAACCATTTATCCTTAGTTTTCAGTTTCTCCAATATAATGTGGTCACTGAGAGGGTGTGAGTCAGTGTATAGTATGCCTTCTTAGCTAGGGGTTTGGGTTCAAATTCTACCTCAGTTACTTCCTTAGTTATGTTTAGGGAGACAAAAAAGTTTTTTTTTCTTTAGCCAGAATACAGCACAAAAGTCAAATTGTTTTTATTTATTACTGGTAGTTATATATAATAAGGGAGGAATATGAACCAGAAGAGTGAAGGATTGTGAACCTGCCTTCTTTGTTTTTCTTCTTGCTTAAGTTGATCTGCTCATCAATTGGATGGGATCTTGGGGCTAAAAAAGTCTCCACATAGCTCCAGGTGTTATTTTTTGGTGGTCCCCAAATTGGGTTTGAGGGCCATAGGATTACCCTTGTGGGGCTGAATGGGGGTTTAAAGGAAATTTCTAATTCTGTAATAGTTTTCTGAACCACCAATCATGGATTTCAAAGTATTATCAGACACAGGTAATTAAAAAAAAAGTAGACTTAATCTTAGCCTAGCTTGATGCTTAGCTTAGCCTAGCTAAGGCTAAGTGTCATGTCTCATAGCCTCATTTAGGGACTGAAGAGCTGATATCTGGCCCTGCTCAGGGAGATGCTTCTAGTCACACCTGAGTAAATGGGGACAGAGGGTCAGTAGAGGGCCCTGAAGAGCTAAAGCTCAGGAGATGGGAATGGAGATCAATTTGGTAACCAGAAATGCTCAGATGAAACAACATGCCCCACCCACCCAGGGAAGAGTAGAGACATGCTCAGCCTATAAATGTAATGTCCAGCAGAGAAAATTCATCCACCTAAGAGTAGCACAGTGATATCTCCAAAGGACGTTGGCCAGCCTGCACCACAGAAAAATAGAATTGCCCTGATTATTCAGGTTCCCGTTATGTGCCTCTTCAGGCGTGGCCCTGTGTGGGATCCTTGGTCATGTGTGTTCTCTGTATACACATGCCCTCTTCTATTAGTGGTTTGGCAGTCTGTGGTACAGTGCATTCCATTTGTGCGTAAAGATCTTTCTCGTCAATTGATTTGCTAATGCTATTTGATGAAATGTCTTTTTTTAAAATTAATGTGTTTTCTGCCTGACTAGTAGAAGTAAACATATCAGTAGGATTCTTTGAGCTCTGGTTTTTGAGTAGGTGTTGACCCATAAAGGATCTTAAACTTGGGTTAGCTTTTCTGGAGACCAGGATGCAAGAGGAGGCAGCACTGGTACTACATGTGTGATCATGGCCAAATCACGTAATTGTTAAGAGTGACATTTTCCTCGTCTGTAAAATGGAGTTAATATAGAGTCAGTCAGTCATCAACACTCACACGTTTAACTTTCAGGACTTCAAGCATTCGAGTGATTTTATTAGTAACCTCATCTTCACTTTCCTGTTGGCAAGAGTGCACATTTGTGGCCATGTGCAGTAGAAGAAAAAAATGAGAGGTGCTGTGCACACAAGTTTGTGGAGAGGCTGGTAACCTACTAGGAGCTTCACTGGTCTTATCACCCTACTGTTGCAGAGTTAAGCATTTCCCATGCATTTGATGCATATTTTCATTGTTGCCTTTGTAAGTCAAGTTTTGTGTTGTAGTGATGCTCCCAAAGCATAGTGCAGGGTCTCTGAGCTCTAAACCCAAGTATACCATGTCAGTGATGCAGCTTAGTGAGATAATAAAGATGTTAGATAAACTCTGTGCCATGAAAATCTGCAGCTACTGTTGGTCTTGAGTTTGGTGTTAGTGAATCAATGATTCCTTATATCTGCAGAAAGGAGGAGAGAATTTGTAAAAGTGTTTGTGAATCAGCTCTAGAAAATGCTAAAGTAACCTCTCAAGTAAGAGATGGGAATTGAAAAAATGGAAAAGCAGCTGAGTTTGCAGGTAAATTAGATGGTGGTCACCCTAGCCCTTTCCCCTGCTGATGGGCATCAGGGGAAGCTGGCAACTCACTCCAGAGCATGTGCTTTTCATCGGGAAACAGATGGCAGGTTAACACTTTCCCTTTTTGACCTTGGGGATCTTCTGAGATCACTACCCTCTACTTCTTCTCTCCTTCCCCATTCCAGTGTTGTCTCTCTTCTTCCCTGCATTTTATGGGTTATTTTATGGTTACTGTGTTAGGAAAAGGACGTATTATACCGGGAGTATACAAATGTAGATAAATCCAGGAATTACATGAACATAATTACAAAACACTTTTTTATACAAATAAAGTCAGATTTAAATAATTGGAGAAATGTTAATTGTTCATGAGTGGGCAGAGCCAATATAATGAACATAACAATTCTTCCTAAATTAATTTACTTATTCAATGCCATCTCAATTAAATTGCCAGAACATTTTTTTATTAAGATAGAAAAAAGTAGTAACAAAATACATTTGGAAGAACAAAAGGTCAAGAATATCAAAGAACTAATGAAAAAAGTAAAGGAAGATGGTTTAGCAGTATCAGATATTAAACTGTATTATAAGATGGTAATTATCAAAACTATTTGGTACTGGCTGAGAAATAGAAAGGTGGATCAGTGGAACAGAATAGGCATACAATACATAGTAGTAAATATTATAGTAACCTTGTGTTTAACAAATATAACAACTTAATCTTTTGGGATAAGAGCTCACTATTTGGTAAAAGTTTTTGGGAAAGCTGGAAAGCAGTCCGGCAGAAACCAGGTATAGACCAATATCTTATTCCATTTCTCAAGATAAGGTCAAAATGGACACATGACCTAGATACAAAAGGAGATATAAGTGTAACAGAAGAACATGGAACATATTACCCATCGAACTTATGGATTGGATAAGAATTTATAAATAAACAAGAGGTAGAGAGCACTGTGAGGTATAAAATGAATAATTTTGCTACCATTAAATTAAAAAGGGTTTGTACAAATAAAACCAAGGTAGCCAAGATTTGAAGGAAAGCAGAGAATTGGGGAGGAAAGGAATTTTAAGAGTTTCTCAGATAAAGGTCTCATATCTTAAACATATAAAGAACTTTTTCAAATTTATAAAAATATGGATTATTCACCAATTGATAAATGATCAAAGGATATGAATAGGCAGTTTTTGGATGAAGAAATCAAAGCTATATATAGTCACATTAAAAAATGCTCTTAATCACTATTATTAGAGATGCAAGTTAAAACGTCTTGGATATATCATCCAGCACCTATCAGATTGGCTGAAAGCTTAGAAGGGGAAAATGACAAATGTTGAAGGGGATGTGGGAAAAATTGGTTCACTAATACGCTGCTGGTGGAACTGTGAACTGATCTAACCATTTTAGAGAGCAATCTGGAATCGTGCCCAAAGAGTTATAAAACTGTGTATACCCTTTGACCCAGCAATAACATTATTAGGACCATTTCCCAAGGTGATTAGGGAAAAACAGAAAAGAATCTAGGTGTTCTAAAATGTTTAAAGCAGCTCTCTTTGTGGTGGCCAAGAACTGGAAATTGAGGGGATGCCCATCAATTGGGAAATAGCTGAACAAGTTGTCGTATCTGATTGTGATGGAATACTACTGTGCTGTAAGAAATGATGAGTGGGTTGATTTTAGAAAGGCATGGAAAGACTTGCATGAAATAAGGAAGAGTAAAATGAGCAGAACCAGAATCAAGAGAACATTGTATACTGTAGCAACAATATTGTTCAAAGAATAACTGTGGATGACTGAGCTATTCTGAGTATTATAAATATTCACATCAACTACAAAGGACTTATGAAGGAAGATGCTATCCACCTCCAGAGAAAGAACTGAGAAATAGAAGTATGCATACTATGGTTTTATGGTTAAATGGTTATACATACACACACACACACACACACACACACACATATATATATATATATATATATATATATATATATACATATATATATGTATACGTATAAGTATATGTGTATACATATATAATGTGTGTATATACACACATACATATATAAAAAGGTAGCTTTTCTAGTGTGAGATGGGGAGAGAGGGAGGAAAACAACCTGGAACTTAAAATATAACAAAAAATTAATAAAATTAAATTTAAAAAAGGAAATGTACATATTATCGAGATTAATGTTATGTTATGAAGAATTGTATGCGGAAGTGTATTTCAGCAGTATTTAGTGAAAGATTATAGTTTTTGGTGGTTGTGGGAACCCAACCCCCTATCTCCCATAGGTTTAATGTATCAATATTAGCATTTTTTACTTTTGTGCCATTTTCTGGGAATATTATGCCCATGAAAATCGAGAATTGACTATACATGTACTACCTGTCAAGGTTGCTATAAGGAAAGTGCTTTGCAAACCTTAAAGCCTATGTAAATAAAATCATAGATTAGAGTTGGAAGGGAGTTTTATTACCATAAGAGTGTTAAGTAACACATCTTGCATTTTTATTTTATCCAGGAGGGACAGTGGAAAGTTAAAAACTGTGAAGAAGAAATGTCATACATTTGTAAAAAACCTGGATATGTCCTTTCTGAAGCTAAATCAGGCTGTCATGAGGTAAGTCTGTGTAACATCATTTATGCATAAAGACCTTTTGACATAGTCATTTGAAATTATTATCCTTTTTTACAAGAGGTACTAATTATATGAGTGTGTGATTAAAAAAAACCAATATACAAATGAATCAGAAAATCGTGAAAGATTTACAACTTTTTGAAGACTATCTTTACGGATCGTTGCCTTGTTGACACTTGTGACCTAAATTTCCGTTGCTTTCTAGATCAGAAATTTAAATGATTTTCTTCTCCCATCTGTACAAATAATGAGTGTTACATGATACCTCATCTCACACATGGTTTTCATAGTTCAAGTACAGAGGCAGAGGGAAAAGGAGGCATTCCCTTTGATCAGGGGAGGGAGCCGTTATACTTGCACTCTTATATTCCTTTCACTTGCAGAAAATATAAATAGAGTGAGGGGACTGTCATTCAATGTGTTTGGATAAAATAAAGCAATCAAAAGGCCAGAAATTTTTATAACATTTATGGTCTATTGGCAAATGGAAGACAAATTATTTATATGGTTTTTTAAAATGAAAATAAGATAGGAAAGTTATAGCTATTATCATAATTGAAGTATGTTTTAGATACTGAATTACAACTATCAGGAACATAGGCATGGTGTAATGGCTGCGGGGAGGGGAGCCTTGGAATCAGGAAGATGTAAGTTTATGTCTGACCTTAAATGAATGTTAGTTGTGACCAGGAGCAAGTCAGTCACTTAATCTCTTAGTGTCCCAGACAGCTTTCTAAGCCTCTAAGTTAGAGATAAGCTGTCAAGTGGCATTGGGGGGAGAGGGTAGAGGAAGAGGAAGAAGGGGAATTTCCTCACTGAATATTCCTTATATTGATGAAATTAATTTTTCCCCTATAGCAGTTTTAGACTGTTTATATGACATATAATTGTTGCCACATTTTCATCATTAATAAAAAGCATTTACTGATCACCTACTTCTGTGGTGCTAGAAAGGGTACTAACAGATCAAATCCTCTTGCCTCTTCACTGTCTCTGGATAGACACTGACTGACCCACAACAAGTAAGCTTTATTTCTTTTCCTTTTCCTTTTTCTCAAATTGGCTCAGCTTTTAGGTTTTGTTTTTATTTGGCTAAGAGATAGATAGACAGACAGATAATAAATAAATATATGTGTACATCTATACATATGTGTGCATATACAGGTACACATATACATACTAAAACCAGATACGTGATTTTATCAGCATATAAATGATGAAATAAATTTCATTAGCACATAAAAATAAATTCCCAGTAAGGAAGAATTCCCTTACTAGTATGAGTCAGCACCTTCTCTTCAGCGTATGATCTTAGAAAGCACTGTAATTATTATTATTATTACTATCAATAATAATAATAGCAGTTTATATAGCACTTTAAGTTTTGAAAAACATTTTACAAATGTTACCTCATTTAATCTTCACAGCAACTGTAGTAGGGAGGTACTATTATTATCCTTATTTTATGGATGAGGAAATGGAGGCAGACAGAGGCTAAGTAACTTGACCAGAGTCAAGTTGACCAGCCAGGAAGTATCTGAGGCTGTATTTGAACTCGAGTCTTCATGACTCAAGGTCTAGCACTACCTAGCTATATGTTCATTCTCTCTCTCTCTCTGTGTCTCTCTCTGTCTCTCTCTCTTCAAAACTTACATGTATATATAGAAAATATGTGAATATAGCTATAGATGAAGATATAGATACAGATTATATATACATACATACATATATATACACACATATACATATACACATATACATATACATACATATATATATATATATATAGAGAGAGAGAGAGAGAGAGAGAGAGAGAGACAGAGAGAGAGGGAGGGAGGGAGTTTGTAGAGGGACAGTTTAAGTTAGAAATGCTTCATAACACTCATCTTCACATATCCTTTTGGTACATATTCTTTAGCATATGGAACACCCCATATAGATGGATCTCCAGGAATGTGGATGTTTCAAGATTTGAGTTCAGTGGTTAGAACTAACAAATCAGATTTCAAAAAATAGATTTTGGAATCTTGTGGATATAGATTTCTTTACCTTCATTAATGGTGGTCAAATACAGGTTTTCTTCCTAATAGATACATTTGGCCTAGTTTGCTCCTTTTGCCAAGTCTACCTGTAAATGTTTAGCTCATGATACTAATGCAGTCAGGTTCAGGGGCTGCACACATCTACAAGTAAGTGTGTTTCTCTCTCATGGCCACAGATTATATCTCAAAACCTTCTCAGACATTTTCTAAATGTATATCATTTGTTCTCTCAAATTGCTGGGGGGTTTTTATGCAAACATAAAATAAATTCTCCTATAATTTGTACAGATTTATGCCATTATTTTAAGACAGATCACAGATTTAGAACTGGAAGGGCTTTTAGAGGACAGATATCCAAACCCTTCAATTTATGGGTGGGTGAATCCCAGAGTCATACAAGTAGTAAATAATGAACAGAAGTTGAACCGTTGGTCATTCCACTGCCCCACTGTAACCTCCCTTTAAAAACTCACACCTGGGGAACTTTGCTTAGATTTTATTTTAAAATCTGCCTTTTCTCCTCCCATACATATACCAGAATACACACACACACACACACACACACACACACACACACACACACACACGCACGCGCACACACACACGCGAGCATGCATCATGCATATGTGTGCATATTTGAGGTCAGAATTATTGAGCCATGTGACATTTAAAAGGTTAGAGAGACATAGTTTATGAGTAATGTAACCTTTTTATTAATAAGGCCAAAAGGTTGTTGATAAAAAGATGGTCATTTGGCTATCTCTCTCAGACCAAAGACAATCATGGTAGGCAGGGCTCACAGTTTATATACTCTTCAAAACAGTAGGTGGTCCATCAAACAGCAATCAAATCTGATTGGAATTGTGATTGGAGGTAGACTATATTAAAATGAAGGGCTGAGTATCTCTTGGATAGGGAAGGTATTTCTATACCAGACCACCCATAGCTTTAGGGAATCAATTCAAAGAATGAACACTATAGCTTCCGCCAGGGTGGGGCATTGAATAGGAAAGTGAGCCCAGTCTCATCATTAATAATGTCCTTAAGAACTGAACTTAAAATCAAGACTTTATAAGAAGTGGGGGAGCTATGAATCTCCCTAAGATATTGGTTACTAATAATCATTTCTCACAGCTAGAGATTGTCATTTTGTTGTTCAGTCGTTTCAGTCATGTCTGAATCTTTGTGACCTCATTTGAGGTTTTTTTGGCAAAGATACTAGAATGGCTTGCCATTGCCTTCTCCAGCTGATTTTATTGTTGAGGAAACTGAGGCAGAGTCAAGTGACTTGCACAGGGTCATACAGCTAGTTAAGTGTCTGAGGTCACATTTTAACTCAAGTCTAACTGACTCCAGGCCCAGCCCTCTACTGTGCAACCTAGCTGCTTCAGAGATTAGTTTAACTCATTCTGTAGATAAGGAAACTGAGTCCCAGAGAGGTGAAATAACACCATATATTTCTGGATCAAAATCACAAATTCAAAAACAAATTTGTTTGTAAAAGCAAATATTTTTATATTTGTTTAATTCTGTTTCTTTCCGCTGGATACTCAGTGGACTAAGTGGATAAACAGCTGTGGATAAACAATAATAAACATTACGCTGAAGACAACACTTGATGTTTGAAAACATTTGGGTGTTTGATCTTGTGCAGGTACATCTTAAATATTAACATAGGTTGAACCTCCATATAAAAACCTCCACACAAACACACACACACACACACACATAATATGTATATGTATACGTTGATAGTTACACCAACAGCTGGTATATACAGATCTTCAGGAATGTAGACATTGCAGGATTCAGATCTTTTAGTTGTTGGAAATTTTTTTTCCTGCTCAAACTGCTCAGAAACTCGAATGAGGCATTGTCTTTTTTTCCCCCTTCTATCCCAGTTGTTTACATTCTAGTCATAACAGACAATACGGATTTCTCCCTTTTGTGCACTAATTTTTGTTTCAGAGAACAATCTGGTTTTTTTCCCCTGCTCTAGCTGTATGATACCAACATTTTATCTGACATTCATCTAATTGTATACAGCTATTGGGTTGATTAGCGCTAAGCACTACTAAGGAATAATGGACCTTCCCAAACTTTTTTAGTTTCATTTTTTCCCCATTCTTAAAGGAGATACGTATCTCCCATAGTAGAATTAGAATTTGCATGACTACTGTTGGTGTTTGATAATTTTGCTCCCCATCTTCTTTCCCCTCAGACCAGCTTTGTCAGTGTTTGTAGATTCAGTGCCCTAATATATTTGTAGCTCACTGATATACTTTTTTTTATTATGAATATAATTTAAATATTTCCCATCCTTGTAGCCATTTGTTTGAATCCCTTTTCCATAAACTTTACTGAATCAATTCAGAAAATCACTCTGATGATTTTAGGTTAAAAAATTACTTTTTCCTCTATACCAGTTTTGCTGACATGAATGACATGGATAATTGTTTCCACATCTTTGTTATTATTTAAAAGCATTTAGTAACCACTTATCTACGTAGAACAATGCAAAGAATACTAGCAGATATGATCAGACTGCCTCTTCACTTTCCCTGGGTAGACACCAGCCTGCAGCCAATAGGCTTTCATTGTTCTTATTACTTTTCCTTTTCCCTTTTATCAAATTGACGCAGCTCTTGAGTTTTGCTTTTATTTAGCTAAGCACTCTATCAGTTCTCCTCATCTAAAAATGGCTAATGAAGAGGGAATACTTGGTCAAAAAAGGTCAAATTGTCAAAATTCCTTGGCCTGCCCATCTAAATCCAAATGGAGTCTTTGACTTCCCTTCCCCCACTTAACCCTGTCTACTTTAAACCTCTGTTGTGTGAGGAATCTGGCGCTATGCCGAGAATGGAATGGGGTGGAGGTGGGGGAGGAAGTCTGGGGGAGTCAGGAACAGGAAATGTGAAGCCATGAAAAGAGTAAGTAGTTGGATGGATAGATAGATGGATGAGTGAGCTTTTGTAATCCATGACTCACTTAATGATAATGTTCCAAACTGAAACAGCTTATTTCTAAAGTTGGGTTTTCTGTAATTTACTACAAGACAAAGACATTTGCCAAGAATTGTACTATAAATTGTGTTATATATGATCTGATAAAAAGCAAGAAGTAATGGCAGAGTACAAAGGGAAGAGGGTTTAAAAAATGGCAAGCACAGAATATTCCTACATCCGTAAGAGAATTTATTCAATTAAGGAAAATTCTCCAAATCTCAGTTGAAAAAGAAGAGAGTAATGACAGTATTTCACCTACATTGAACTGTTAAAGAAGGAGGTCACATTTCAGAGTTTGTGTCATGTCCATTTGGGGCCATCAATTTTGATTGAGGGGGAGGGCAAAGTTCACCTTTCTTCTACCGAAGGGACAGCTATTTTAGCTCTCCCCTCAACCTTTTTGCATTCAATAGACAACTAAGGGAATGGGATTACTATTGGTTTCTAATCCCTGCTCTGCCATTAACTAGTTTGGCAAATTTCCTTAACTCTTTGGGCTTTAGTTTCTTCACCTGTAATATGGGGACTAATCCTTTCCCATTTCACATATTTATTGGAGGGGAAAATAGCAAGAGATCATAGATAGAAGAGAACAGTGAAAAAATAAAAAACCCTATCATAGAGGCATCTGCCCCTTCCTCCTCCATTACCTTATCCGTAGCTGAAATTTTCTCTGTGAATCACTTGTAGACTACTTAAGTCTGAAGAAAAGATGTAAAATGACATTATTCCATTCTCTTGGGCAGGAGAGGGTAAGAGAGGGGGAGAAATAAATGATTGTCACCACTCACTCCTGGAATTATGTGGAAATGCATGCATTCTGATAGGGCTGCCATGCTATCTCTTAACCTTTTCCAAGGTAGGAAACAAACAAAAAAAGCAATCCAAGGATCAGGTTTGATCTGATTTCCATTTCTGTGGTGTTTTATTTGTTGTTGGGGGTTTGGGGAGGTGGAGAAGGGGAGTGATTTCCTCCATTTTCATTTGCTTTTGGCAAGTTTCAAGATAGTGCCTCAAATAACTATAATGTTAATGACAGTGAATCGATAGAGTAAGAACTAAATGACATTAGATTGTTCTGGATATGGACATAAAAGCTGGGAGACAATTTGCAGATGGGACTTTGGGTATAGAAAAGGAAGTCATAAGAAGTCGTGAATGAGCTGAGTTTAGAAGGGCTCTTACTTGATAACCAAATCACTGTTGTTTCCTTGATTTTATATTTCCTTTTTTAAGGGATGGGAAAGACATGGTGGATTTTGTTACAAAATTGACCCAATCCGTCGAAGTTTTGAACACGCTTCCAGTGGCTATTACTGTCCTCCTTCACTTGTAACAGTTACCAACAGGTAGAATAATACTTTTTTAACAGAAACACAACTGCGACACCAAGCCAAAAAAAAAAAGAGGCCTTTGCTAGAGCAAGAGATCAGCTCCAGCTGCTCCAGATGTTTTGTGATCCTCTCTTGATGAAAAACAAATGCTTGTTTTGCACCACAGTATCAATTTCTTTGGCTGAGATTAGCTGAAATCATAAAAAGGCTATTCCCAAATTGATTTTATAGTAACAAATGCTAATGCAAATATTTTAACATTTCAGTCTCTTAACATTCCATAAAGATTTATTAGGTATTTTACAGGGCCTTAATACTATTCTTTCCAACCCTGTTAATAAATTCAGCTGAATTTTGGATTTCATTACCTAATTACTTGCCTGTGTAAAACAAATATGCAATTTAAAAATTATTCTCCATTAAGTATAACACTTTCCTTGATTCTAATCATATTTTTAAAAAATTGTTGGGATATCAAAAGGAGATGACGACTAATATGGAAATGTTCAAATACCTACCAATCACCTCTTAAGCATCTACTGTAACTTAATTCTAGTCTTTCCTGGGAAAAGTATCTTCTTGATATTGAAGAAGAAAGGGTGCCTTTTATGCTTTTTGTGTAACTCCTAACAAATGAGAACATTTTAATATATGACAAAAAGTATTAAGAGCATGATAGCTGCAGACTTGGTTGTCCCTTTTCTAAATGCTAAGGGGAGCAATGATTAGGGAGAAGGGGAAGGCATTGAAAGACTGACCACTAAAACCTTTGACTGGGAGAATCACTAGAATGGGGCCAATGCAAAATCATGGTACCATTCTAACCTCTGACTTCAGGCAATATAACAACCCATGCTGATTTTGTCCCTCAGATTCTACTTGCTTATATATCTAGCAATTACATAAGTTGTGGGAAGATTTCCTATGCCCCACAACTCCAAATTTTTTTTAAAAATGATTTTGATTTTTTCAATCAAGGAAAAAATGATTTTCTTTCCTCCCACATCCTCTTTTCCCTCTCCACACCCATTGAAAAAGAGAAAAAAAAAGATAAACAAAATCCCAGTAACAGATATATACAGTCAAACAAAACAAATTCCTGCATTGGCCAAGTCCAAAAAATATACCGTGTTTCATTCTTCCACATGCTTTTGAACTAGTCAAGGAACCTGATCTACAAAGTTACTTTTTCAGTAATTGCACTTTGATTCCCTTCTCCTAGAAGTGAAGAATTAATCCTATTAGAAAACAAAGCTGTTTTCTTTGACCAAAAAGAAAGTAACATGAACACTTAAACAGTTACAAAAACATCCTCTGTAAGTGAAGCACTGTATCAAGTATGATGGGAGATAAAAATAAAATTAAAAATATGGTCCCTGCTCTGGTAAGGCTTACTATCTCACTGGGAAGACAAGACCTATGTATATAGTGGCCACATTTTAGTATCAAATGAAACTCAGTCATATGAAGATAATCGAAGGACAGGGACTGGACCTGTGATTATATTTATATAGAGAACTCCCAGGTGAGGAAGCTCCCTCCACCAATGCAGGTCAGCACCTCCCCTAAAATTTCTAGTCAGAGAATAGAGTTAGCTAGATGGCACAGTGGCTAAAACATTGTCAGGAAGACCTGAGTTCAAATCTGGTCTCAGATACTAAAGAGTGCTCCTGGAGTCAATATTTTGATAATCCTCATTAAATAACTCTTGAGCAGAATTGTGGATTTAGGCAGCCAGGGGGTGAAGAGGATAGAGCACTGGGCCTGGAGTTAGGAAGAATCTTAGTTCAAATTTGACCTCAGATCCTTATTAGCTGTGCAAACCTGGACAAGTCACTTGATTTCTGTATGCCTCAATTTCCTCATCTTGTAAATGTGGATAATAATAACACCTACCTAGGGATGTTGTGAGGATAAAATGAGGTCATATTTATAAGACACTTTGTAAACTCTAAAAAACCCTACAAATAAATGCTGTTATTATGATTACTGTTAGAGAGGCTTAGGGCATTTTGCCCAAGATCACACAAAGGTTGTCTAGATGAAGCTGAAAGTCTTCATTCTCTAAAATCTAAGTAGGAGCAACATGAAGATGTCATAAAATAGCAGGACAGGGATAGGGATACACTTGTGGTTTCTTTGATCTAGAGAACTCTCAGAGGAACTTCTATCTGTCAATAACTCTTTCTATCAATACAGTTGGGCATCTTCCCTGCAACTTGTATGTAGCCTTACAGAATTGCTTAGGGCAGCTAGGTGGCGCCATAGTGCACAGAGCGCCAGACCTGAAATCAGGAAGACTCATCTTTCTGAGTTCAAATCTGGCCTCAGACACTTACAAGCTGTGTGACCCTGGGCAAGTCACTTAATCCTGTTTGCCTTAGTTTCCTCATTTGTAAAATGAGTTAGAAAAGGAAATGGCAAACCACTCCAGTATCTTTGCCAAGAAAACCCCAAATGGGGTCACAGAGTCAGACATGACCAAAACACAACTGAAAAGTTAGAGCATTGAGAGGTTAAGTGATGGAGCCACACAACCTATGTGTGTCAGCCAGTATGAACCCAGGTCTTACTGGCCCCTGAGGCTAGTCCTTGAACCACTACAAGCTGCCTCTCAGGGTGTTAGGATCATTTTAGTATGTTGATATCTTCAAAATTTGTCAAAGGGGTGTGATGTAAGCAGACCAAAATTTCTTAATTTTGTGCTCGATTTTCTTGAAAGTTTGTTTTTTAAGGCCCAACCAGCTCTAGGCCAAATTTTGATTATCTACTCTAGGCCCCTCATTTTACAGATGTGGAAATTGTGGCCCAGTAAGGTCAACTTGCTGAGGGTCATGCACTTAATCAGTGGCAATGACAGACTTAGAACCCAGGTTCTCCTGACTCCTAGTGTATCTTTCTTTCTTTTTCTTTCTTTCTTTCTTTCTTTCTTTCTTTCTTTCTTTCTTTCTTTCTTTCTTTCTTTCTTTCTTTCTTTTGGCTGGGCAATGGGGTTAAGTGACTTGCCCAGGGCCACACAGCTAGTAAGTGTTATGTGTCTGAGGCCAGATTTGAACTCAGGTCCTCCTGACTCCAGGGCCAGTACTCTATCCACTGTGCTACCTAGCTTCCCCTAGTATATCTTCTTTCCATCACATCCAGCTGCCTCTAGGTCTAAAACAAGGACATGTTAGCTGCAGAATTGAAATATCACTATGGCTTTGAGTCTTACATTTTTAATAACAACTTTTTATTGAGAAAAGTTAGGAGAAAATGAAGGCTCCACTCAGTGGTTCCACAGAACTAGGCAACCCCCTCTGTGACTTTGAGCAAATTTATCTTTCTGGGCCTCAGTTTCCTCCTCTGTAAAACAATGAGTTTTGTCTAGATGCCCTTTAAGGTCTCTTTTGACACTAAAGACCTGTGATTTGGGGGAGTTGTCCACCAGTGTTTTTGACAGTCATTTTTCCCTGTTGCAGATTTCCTGAGTGAGGTAGAGTCACTCCTGTCTCTCACTAGCATACCCTGGCTCAGTGACTAATGGATTTTCCACCCTTCTGCACAAGTGAGTGGCAGGTTGGATGGGCACAATTAGAACCACCTGCTCCACATTACTTAATTCTTTTGTTATCTGGACAACTCTTAGTCCTGGCTTTTTTTTTTTCTCTTTAACCCTTTGTTCAGGAACAGAAGGGAAGGAAGATGGAGCCCTAATCCTGAGTAACACAATTACTCCTTTATACAAATTGCTGACAGACATCTTTCAGGCTTTGATGCTCTGCTTGTAGAGAGACTGCAAAGGCAGAAGCACTCATATGAGCCCCAAGGTTGCCATGGCTGATTATCACATTGCACGTACAGCTACGTTTTGAATCAGTCTGCCATGAAATACTGGGCAACTAAAAATCCACGTGACATTTAATTCTCTGCAGCTCTTTAGCAACAGATAGAAATGATCTTGTAACATATCAGTTAATCTTAGCTTTATATTTGATTTCTTTGTCCCGTCATTTTTTTTCTTCCCCACATACCCATTTCAGGATATTTCCTGTAATAGCATACTTCTCTTCTAATACCATATCAAATATAACAGCCACAGCTTCAGAGTTCTGCTAGACTCAGAGGTCAAGAGTCAGTAGGCATGTATTCAATAATAGGAATTTGTGCTAAGTCTGCAAACACAGATATTTAATTCAATCCATTGAATAAACCCTAATTAAGTGCCTACTATGTACAAGGCAGGGTGTTTGGTTCTGGGGATGTAAAGGTAAAAAATGCAACAGTCCTTCCTTTGAACGGCTAACATTTTACAAAGGAGAATAAAACATATATAAGGATGGATAAATAAATAGATAATAGATAAACCATAAATAGCTATATGTATAAATATAAAATAAATAAAAGCTATCTTTATATAGCACTTTAAAGTTTGCAAAACATTTTATATATATTGTCTTATTTTATCCTCTAAACAACCCTGGGAGTTAAGTGCTATTATTATTCCCATTTTACAGATGAGGAAACTGAAACACAAATTTATTAAGTCACTTTCCCAGGGTCTGAGAACAGATTTGAACTCGGTTCTTCCTGATTCCAAGTCCAGAGCTCTCTCTACTTCACCACCTAGCACTAATAACTGGGGTTATCAGAAAGAGCTTTATGAGATATAACACAGACTTTGCTTTCAAGAAGTTTATTGGGGGGAGGAGAAGACATATATCCAAATAATGGGGGATACAAGGGAGAATGGGCTAAGTACCAAGGATTAGACCAAATAAAAGGAGAGCTAGAGGGTGGAGAGGTCTTTTTTATCTGGAATAGTCAAATAAAATGTCATGGAAGAGGTGGCATTCCAGTTGGAACTTGAAACAAAAGAACTTCAAAAATAGAAATAAAGTAGGACATTCTTCCTCCATCTAGGCATGTGGAGTAACACAGACAGTACAGACATGGTAGGGGACAGAATAAGGTTGGAGGAAGAGGATTGTGCAGTTTAATTGGAATGGAGGTAATGCAAAGAGGAGCAATACGAGTTA